TGGGTTTCCAGGGTTTTTTTTTTTTTTTTTTTGTGAAGTAAACCCTGGTTAATTTTCATAAGTGGTATTCAGTTGTTTGCCAGAGTTTTGCTAGGGTGTTCTGAGCTAATGCTTGGTGGTTGCTAAGAAATGTTGAGTGTTTAACACATTATTATGCTAAGACGTTGTTCTTGTTAAAGAGTGTTGCTAGGTGGCTGATAAGAAGTTTTGAATGTTTTTAGCACAATACTGTGCAACGGTTCTTGATATTTGCTACAGTTATGCTAGCATGTTCTGAGTGATTGCTATGTGGTTTCTAGAACGTTCTGAGTGATTTGTAGCTATGCTAAGTTTGTTCAATTGTTTGCTAGATTTTGCTATGGTGTTCTAAGCTAATGCTAGGTGGTTGCTAAGAAATTCTTAGTGTTTTAGCACATTATTATGCTAAGACATTCTTGATATTTGCTAGAGTGTTTCTAGCGTGTTTTGAGTCATTGCTAGGTGGTTGATAAGAAGTTTTGAATGTTTTTAGCACAATACTGTGCAAATGGAGTTCTTGATATTTGCTAGAGTGTTGCTAGCATGTTCTGAGTGATTGCTAGGTGGTTTCTAGAACATTGTAGCACGTGGCTATGCTAAGTGTGTTCAGGTGTTTGATAAAGATTTGCTAGGCTGTTCTGGATTATTGCTAGATGGCTGCTAAGAAATTCTGGGTGTTTTAGCACATTATGTTAAGGATGTTTTAGATATTTGCTAGAGCATCTTGAGCAATTGCTTACTATATAAATTAACTGGATTTTTTCACCCTTTTATCACCCACCAGACAAAAATCATAAGTCTGAGTTACCCAACAAAGTTCAGCATTCTAAGTTTCAACAACACTATTAGTGCATTAGCAAGCACCACTTATGATATGATTCTATAAAATGCCATTAGTGATTGCTAATCGGTTAATCTTTCAAAACACTGTTATCTCATGTACAAGTCAAATGTTGCAGTGCACATTGACATAGTTGCTTTAAACATTTATCTTGGCCATAGGTGACTCACTGTTCAAATAAAGAAAGTGTTTAATCAATATCTTGCACTAAGGAGAGAACACGCCTTAAGCTGTACGCCAACTAGGGGATTTAGAGATAATATTCAAGATGGCATACTGATAGTAGATTCCACCTAACTACTAATGATTAATCTTTATGGTATTCTAAGGGAAGACACTGTTTCCCATCTGATGTGTGACAATAAATGTGATTGCCATTCAACAAATGGTGTGTAAACATAACCTCTCAAAAATGTTGTGTACGGACATATGGCCAGGGGTTAAATTAGGCCAGGATTGATCCGGAACGACGTTCCGGCATCTTCGATTCACTAAAGTTTGTTCGTTAAACCACTTCACTACGCAAATACATTCCCTCAAAAATCCCAGTTTAACCTCTAAATTTAAAATGCTAGCATCCAGTAGCAAAATTGCACTGGACATTTGGCATGCAAACTCCAAAATATGCAGACTACAGAAGATCAGGACAAAACTCAATGGACTTGTTCGCATAATGCCTGACATGTTCATTCATGTATTCAGCTCAAAGAAAGCAGGGACATCCTGTTCCATGCGTTTTTGTGCAGAGATCATGCGAGACCATGCCACGGATGCCGCGGGCCATTGTGGAATCTGCGCACAGACAGTTCTTACCTGAGACAGGTAATCGTGGTGGCTGTGTGCCAATTCCTCTTCTAATCTTAACTCATTCTCTCACCAAACAAGTTCTAAGAGGCTGGGAACAATCAAAAGACAGTGTATGCGGTTCACTGAGGGTGCAGCTTTTCAGTGATCCATACTTGTAGCAACTGAGTGGAAACACTGTCCGGCTTGGACAACCAGTCCAGTTGCCTTATTGTAGCTAAGATCAAACATCTGCTATTAAAGGGTTAGTTTACTCCAAAATTAAAATGGTCATCAAGTACTCACCTTCATGTCGTTCCAAACCCCTAATGACAAAAGGAGATATTTTGAAGTTGTTCTAGCGGCTTATTTCAATACAATGTCTCCAAAATGGAGGGGATAAAAGAGAGAGAGAGAGAGAGAGATTAATCTATACAGTATATATATTATGGATAAAATAAATAAGCTTAGTTTCTCTAAATTGCTATTTTATATGCAATGTTTCATTTGCAAAATGCAACTTTATTTCTCACAGTATGACTATATTTCTTCATTTATTTACTGACCCTCATATGCTGTTCCAAGCCTCTAGAAAACTTTCCATAAAAAAATAGTAATTTTTTGGGTTAACTGTCCCCTTTAGAGCTACTAGTTCGAGAACAGGTGAATCCCAGCTACAAATCAGCCCTTGGCAAGGATTAACGGCTTGCGTTTTTACACAGTTTTCCCACTAAACTGGGACAGCTGAGAACAAGAGCATCTTCCCTCAGGCCCGAATTTGTTTTAAACCCCCAATTTGAAAACGAGTTTCAGATTGGATGTGATAAACTGTGATGTGGGCCGTATCTCGACCAAAACAGATTAGAACTAAGGCTTGTTTTAATCCAAACCTGCTGTGTTAAAGAAAGTCAAACAGCCTGACAACATTAAGGCAATGTCTGTTTCAAAATATCATGAGAATGGGAGAAACGGGACTCCTCAGCTATTTAACAGACACCATGGGTTTAAGAGCCAAGCCAGTGTTCACTGTTAAGTTTGCCCTTGTGGTCCATATGTTTTGCTTGCACAGCCTTTAGGAAAACCTCTGGTCCTGTATAACTCAGAAATGAAAAAATAAACCATATAGTTATACCATTATAAATAGCCCCAGAGTTATTGGCATAAAAACACCTGTTAGAAAATACAGACTGTTTTTAATAGTCTCCGAATTAAAAACCTCCAAAGATCTTCAATTATTTTGTTCCCAAAAAGAAGGGAAGAAAAAAAAAGAGAGAACATGTGAAACTAATCATGGCATATTACCTTATATGAGGTCAAAAGTACAACCTCCTGCTTAGAAGACAAATTTCTAGGATTCTCTAAAGCAAAACCAATACTGTAAACATTACGGGGCTTTATTACATTACGAAAAGGGTCAGGTGAACATCCAAGGATGAAAGCAGGTCTTTCCCTCCCTCTGGGCGAGCAGCTGTCAAAGCCGTAAGGTGCACAAAACAAGATCGACCTGAATTCATACGACAAAACTTTCACGGTTGACTGCAGAGATGGTTGTCTGGGAATGATGAATCTGAAAATTGCAAAGCACAAAAAAGTTTTAACAGCATTTCAGACAAATCTGTGCATTAATGTTTTCAGCTTTTTGTGGTGTAGTACAACTGTAAATTTTGCAAAACAGCAATATCTATCTGTTGATCTATTGATCTCTCTCTCTAAACATTTTAAATTATATGTGTGTGTGTAGAAATAAAAACATTTATATAAATATAAACTTATAAAATGTAATTTAATTTGAATACATGCCCCTACAAATATTTCTTTCAATAAATATTAAACATCTAAATTAAACATGAAAAAAAAAAATACTACTTTTTTTTTATATATGCATACTGTATATAAATGTAAATTAATTTTGATTATAGATTTAATATAGGCCTAGATATATGATATACATATACATATAGCTTATATATGTGTGTGAGCAATATATAAAATGTATTACATAACATATGTAAAACATAGCCTATAAAATAATCAAAGGTCAATAATCATAATGTAAAATGAAAACATAGCCTAATTAAGAAGTCCAGTAAGTATCATAGAGAATCGGCCCATGAAAACTCCTGTTTTTGTGGTTGGTAACACGGTTAATAATGAAGTTCATACACAGCTGGGTTTGCAAAATCAGAGAATGCGAACTCTCAAATATTGCAAATTGATGTTCCCTGTGGAGCTTTGTCTCGGATTAGCTTTGCATGTATTGTTTACCAGATGTCTGCGAGTCGGCTTGGAATGTCGTCTTCTTTTTATATACGCCATAATCAATCTCAGACATCAAAAAAGATGAAATCATGTTGACATTGAGTAATCCAGTTAGCATGTTTTCCGTCTGTCCTGTAATAGCTGTGCTTGGCGTTTTTTGTTTTTTTTTGCCTGTCAAGTAGAAACCAGGCCAACGGGGTGCAAGGCTGCCAAAAATAAATGGATATTAAAGATGGACACATCTTGCACCTGTATGTCGGAGACCCGTTAGTTTTTCAGTTACAGCAACAACACAAAGCCCTCAACATCCAGCGGCTCTCGGTGGGCATTTGACCTGCTACCAGGAATATAACAGTAGGTATGAGGGGGCTCCAATACGTTTTGTTTGTATTTTCAAATTCTGCTACGATCTGAAGCTGAGAATTAACTCGAGTTTGATCTACACATGAGCTCTCACTAAGAACATCGAAAAATAACACGGCACGGTGAGGAACATTCCACGCGTGTTTGATTTTCCCTCAGAAAATTGCGCGCTTCAAAGGAACGCTGTACGACGAACGGGACAAAATCTGACCGAGACCACCTCACCTTACATCACTGAAATAACAAACTGATTTTTATTGAGCCAAAAAACTAATATTATTCCCTCAGCACAAACCAATAACCATATTAGTACGATTCTCAACTCGTTTTACACGACAGGCTGAGAGAACAAACGTGCGGCCGCCGTGTTGGAAGATTCCCACGAGAAACTGTTACGTTTGTTTGTTCTCGTTCTGGTTCTTCCAGTGAAAGTCTACATTAATCACATGGGCTACCGACCAAAGAATACACTTACAAATATTCATAGCATTGCGCTTGCTTTATCATCCTGTTGACTTTTGTCACGCTATTAGGCTACAGAATGTCTCGGTATGTCAAACACCTGGTCTGGAATTGCTCCAGGTGTGTTAGCAAATCAACATGTGATCCGCAAAGTATTTTTACACAAATGCCTCGATTCAAGAGTGTGTAGCACACATCAGCTATCTTTCAGTGAAGTGTAATGACCCATATGCATTTCCGATTGAAAATGAAACTATATGCAGTGGGAATGAAAGCTTAGGCCTACGTCAAGACGGGGAATGTCTCATGAAAGTACCAAAGATCACCAGAACAATTTATCTTGAAGATGAGCACAGATTCTTAAGCTGCATTTTAATGCACGTGTGCATGTCCTTGAACAGCACAGACTTTTCCAGCATCCAATTTGTGCATGCTCTGTGGTTCGCACCGTACTCCAACACTGTACCGCGGCGAACCATTTACTTACGCAGGTCAAACTTTGTCCTGCCAAGGTCAATATTCCAAGGTCCCACTACATGTGATTTCTCATATGTCTGCGGAAATGACTAACATTGTTTTCAAACTTTTTTTTATTAACATAATATGCGTTACAAAGTACACTCTTTGTAACTTAAACATGCTACTTATTCGGCTCTATAAATGGTGATTTATCAACTAGCTTACAACTTTTAAAGTGAACATGGATAACTCTAGATAAATAAGTGAAAAAAGAGTGAAAATTTACATTAAAAATTAATGAATTAAATAAAATAAACATTTAAGATCCATGAAGGAATTAATTTAAAAATAACCAGTTTTGTTGTCAGTAACAAAATTTAAAGAGACAAAAGTTCAGGTGTAAGAAATACTGTGTACATACATGTTCCACTAATATAATTTTACCAGTTGATATTTCAATTAATTTCAATATAATTTATAATAAAGATTCAAAATAAAATTTAATGTTAAATATTTAAAAATGAATAAATATATCAGTTTAAATACAATTCTTATATATATTTCTAAAGGCATTTTGTGGCCCCCTAGTAAAGTAAAAATATGCTGCACCTTTTTAATTTATTTTAATTTAAAATGAATTAATACATTAATTTTAAAAGAAATTGTAATTTTAAATAAATACAAGCTAAATAATTAAAAGTGAATCATTATTTTTATTTATATTTATTTTTTAAATATGGGTGCAGCAGGCGCAATGATATTACGCAGCGCCTGAAAATAGGCTTACTGGAAGTTACCTAGCTGGGACTATTTTCAGGCACTGCGTAATATCATTGCGCCTGCTGCACCCATGGTACGGCAGCAAAGTTCCTTGATTATTACGCCGGAATGAGAGTATAGTTCCTAGCCATATCGGCCTAGAAAATCGCAACTTTTCATTTTCTGTCGGTCTTAGTACACGATGTAACTACAGAAGAGACAAGTTTTAAATAGGAAAAATATAGAAACTCTTTGGTCATTTTTGAGCGAGATGCTAACGGTCTAATCAGATTCAATGATCTATGCTAAGCTACAGCTAAAAGTGCTACCGCCAGACCTGGAGATCGGCTGAATTGATTCGAAAACGGTAAAACTCAACTGTTTAACTCTAGGGGAGTTGGAAAATGAGCCTATTTTCAAAAATAGTGGAGTGTTCCTTTAAAGCCATTGGGCCACTCTTGTAAAGTTTCAAATTAAGAAATATGCTGCACGTTAACTTTGTATAACTTTTTAACTTTGTTAAAAGTTTAACTCTTAATTTTGTTAACTTTTTAATATAATTTTTTTAAAAATATTGAGGCCCCCTAGTAAAGTTCCAATGTAAGGAATATGGCACATGTTGGCATTTTAGTTAATGTAAGTATAAAATAAATTAATATAAAATAAATAAGAAATTAAAAAATTAAGTTTAACATTTTTTAAAGTAATTTTAAAGACATTTTGCACCCTCCTTGTATGTTTACTGAGGCCTGCTAGTGGGCCCCAATCTTAGCTTGGCTATAAGACACTTGTCTGTGAGCCCTCGGAGGATGGAGCTTGACCCGGGAATGAAAGCCTTGCAGGAGATCTGGGAAAGCAGCAGACGTGGGCTCAGCAGAACCTGGCGTCTAGACGAAGGTGCCATACCTGCATTCCTTCCAGAGCGACTCATCCCAGCCGGCTTAAGGTCGCTGTTGAGCATGACACGTGGGAGTGAATAAGAGCTTCAACACGAGCGCTCTAGCTCCGACAGGCTGTGGCAGATGGTCGCGCTCTACACTGGAGCGCCACATGTCAACATCAGCCGACCGCAGCCCCCCAGCATCCCCCTCCGTCCTGTCACACTCATAGGCCACACATTAAACAACACACGCAAACCCCCCAATCATCTAATTACACTATTTGAGAAAAGCATGTCATTTTAGGTTAGTAATTCGCCATTGAAGCATTTACGGAGTCTGCAATTTGAAGGAAAATCACATACGAGTGCTGCTGTCGGTGCATTTAGGCCGTGCTGCACTAGGCAAAAATGAAAAGGCTAGCTGACGTCACAGTCGCGAGTTGAGGGCCGTCGTGAGGAAAGAAATTAAAAGCTTGGCCTGTGCTGGGCCTTTGAAAATCACTCTTGAAAAAGACGGGTTTAAAGCAGGTCAGGAGAAGAGATGAAAGGGCAAGCAAAATCTATCTATCTATCTATCTATCTATCTATCCTTTTGTCTATCTATCATCTGTCCTTTTGTCTATCTATCTATCTATCATCTGTCCTTTTGTCTATCTATCTATCTATCTATCTATCTATATATCCTTTTGTCTGTCTGTCTGTCTGTCTATCTATCCTTTTGTCTATCTATCTATCTATCCTTTTGTCTATCTATCTATCTATCTATCTATCTATCTATCTATCTTCCCTTTTATCCATCCATCCATCTGTTTGTCTATTTATCCTTGTCCTTCTGTCTATTAATCTAACTTTTTGTTCATCCATCCATCCATGCATCCATCCATCCATCTATGCATCTGCCTAACCGTTTGTCTATCCATACATCATCCATCCATCCATTCACCATTTTGTCCGTTCATTCATTCATTCATTCATTTATCCGCCCATCCATCCATCCATCCAGCCAGCCATCCATTCACCATTTTGTCCATCCATCCATCCAACCGCTATCTATCTATCTATCTATCTATCTATCTTCCCTTTTATCCATCCATCCATCTGTTTGTCTATTTATCCTTGTCCTTCTGTCTATTAATCTAACTTTTTGTTCATCCATCCATCCATGCATCCATCCATCCATCTATGCATCTGCCTAACCGTTTGTCTATCCATACATCATCCATCCATCCATTCACCATTTTGTCCGTTCATTCATTCATTCATTCATTTATCCGCCCATCCATCCATCCATCCAGCCAGCCATCCATTCACCATTTTGTCCATCCATCCATCCAACCGTTTGTCTATCCATACATCATCCATCCATCTATTCACCATTTGTCCGTTCATTCATTCATTCGTTCATTCATTCATTCATTTATCCGCCCATCCATCCATCCATCCAGCCAGCCATCCATCTATTCACCATTTTGTCCATCCATCCATCCAACTGTTTGTCTAAACATGTATCATCCATCCATCTATCCATCCATGTTGATGGAGTCTGCAATTTGAGGGAAAATCACATACGAGTGCTGCTGTCGGTGCATTTAGGCCGAGCTGCGCTAGGCTAAAATGAAAAGGCTAGCTGACGTCACAGTCGCGAGTTGAGGGCTGTCGTGAGGAAAGAAATTAAAAGCTTGGCCTGCGTTGTGGCTCTGAAAAATCGCTCTTGAAAAAGATGGGTTTAAAGCAGGTCAGGAGTGGAGAAGAAAAGGCTGGCTATTTAACTGCAGGTAATTCTTCATGAGACGGTTTTACAAATGTTAGGTGAAGTCTTTCGATCTTATTTGGAGATTGAAAAGTACCTGGGGCCAAGAAACCGCAGGCTGTTCTTTCTAAAATGATTTTACGTGAGCCTTGTGCAACATTTGCAGAGGATAAATGCTGTTATAACTCACCTTGCCTTGCCAACCGTCTTTATCACATGAGTATTTTTTTAAGACGAGCCGGTCTCCGATGAGCAGTTACCTTGTACATGATTTGCGAAGTTTTTAACCTTTCACAATTGAAAAACATTGCATCACAAAGGAGTAAATCAAGCTGAAACATTGAAACGATTCATTTTGCAAAGGTTAGCAGTAACTGCTTAATACATCGGGAAATTATGAAGGGGTTCAGTGAGATTTATAGCCCAGTGGATGACTCTGGAGATAAATCTGAAACGATGGTGGTCCAAACCTTTTAATCAAATGAGTTTAGGGTTATTTTCAGTCATCACAGAGATTCAGCAATTGCTTTAGAGAAAGAAGCTTCTCGGTTACATACTTTTAAAAAAAAATTAAATTAAAACAAATGTTAATATAATAAATAATTAAGAATAAATAAAACATAAAATGAATAAAATAAATTCAGTTGTTGCTTTGGAGAAAGGCACTTCTGATAATAAAAAAATAAAATTAATGTATAATTTAAAAAATCAATAAATAGCATAATTGATCATAAATAGCTTTTTTAACAAAAATCTTAATATTAGATTCAGCAATTGCTTTAAAGAAAGAGACTTCTCAGTTACACTAACAATACAAAAATAAAAATAAATGTTAATATAATAAAAAATGAGAATGAATAAATAAAATAACAAATTCAGTTTTTTCTTTAGAGAAAGAAACTTCTAATAAAAAAAATATTTAAAATAATGCATAATTAAAAATAGCATAATTGACAATGAATAATTTATTTTTTTAATTACATATCTTAATATTACATTCAGCGATTGCTGAATGTAATATTTCTCTTTAGAGAAAGAGGCTTCTGGATTACATTTAAAAATAATAATAAAATGTTTATAAAATAAAAAATGTAATTGAGACTTTTAATCACAATTTAAACTTAAATAAGAGATTCAGTGATTGTGTTTGAGAAAGAGGCTTCTTGATTAATGTAAAATAATTGTTAAAAATATATAACTGTTCTGAAAAAATAATAAAATTAATAAATCAAAACAACAAAAATCAGTGATTGTTTTAGAGAAAGGCATGTAAAAATAATTTAAAAATAAATGTAAACCGAAAAAAAAAAAAATTCTTGTGACTTAAAAAAACATTTTAATTAATAAATGAAATAAAGGATTGGACAAAAGGGCTTCTAGATTACACAAAAAAGTGAATGAAAATAAATGTATATAAAACAGACAAAAAAAAATTAGACTTAAACGTATAACTTAAAATAACTTGAATAAATTAGATGAACAAATAAACTACTTTTCAACAAACTTTAACTGATAAATAAAAAAAATTATAATAATTTTTTTTGAAGTGTTTCAGACTAGTAGCATTGTTATGCAAGTCCAGACTTTGGTTTGGCCTGATAAACATTTGCTGGGAAACAAAGAGAGTGTTTGTTTATCCCCAAACACACACCTGAGACAGGCACTCCGCAGGAGATTGTGGGAGTCCTAATCATTCGTCCCACATGTATTATCCTCAGTAAGGCCTAGATGCACCTGAATACACCTTGGCGGCCCCCTGTTGCTGGCAGTAGAAGAGATTTATGTAGGGGTCAATAGAGCAACAGGTTTTTGTGTTAGTAGCTGTAAGTCCATCTGTCTGTGACTCAGCGGAATAAAAGCTGCAACAATAGCGCTTTGCTCGGTTACCGTGAGAAAATCAGTGTCGTGAGTGTGACAGATTGCTTTCAGCAAGTGCTTTGATTGATGAATTCAGTAATAAACATTCGGCTTTTATCTCTGTGGTGGTTTGGCGCGATACAGAAAGGTTTGTGTTCATTTGTACGACTTTGAACGATCGGGCGCAGCTCTTGTCAGCGGTTTAATTGAGTGCTAGTAATGTGATAAGTGCATACATTGCCTGCAGAGCAACAAATCTTCTATAATGAGCACAACTCGTGCGTGTAAATAACAATAACATCTGTCAACATCACATCTTCACATCCTGACAGATGAAGGATAACAGATGATACAATTAAACACATTATATAGCAAATCTATATCTACCTTTTTGTCTATCGATCTACCCATTTATCTACTCGTCTATCTACTGTTTGTCTAACTGTCTATCATCTATCTATCTATCTATCTATCTATCTTCACATTTTTCTATCCATCCATCTATATATCTATCTACCCATTTGTCTATACCATTCTAGATACCAGTTTATCTATCCATCTACCCATTTCTCTGTTCATCCATCATATACCTTATTTGTCTATCCATCCAGCTATCTATCTATATATCTATCTGTTCAACTGTCTACCCATCCATTCATCTGTATATCTATATCCATTTATATACCCACATAACCATTTATCATCTATCTATCTATCTATCTATACATCCATCCATATATATATCTACACATTTGTCTACCCATCCATCCATCTATAAGTGTATCTATATCCATTTACCTACCCCATCCATCTACCCTTCTATCATCCACCCATTTATCTATCAATCCATCATAGACAGATCAACTATCACCTTATTTGTCTATCCATCCAGCTATCTATCTATCTATATATAGATAGATAGATAGATAGATATGCTCATTTGTCTACCCATCCATCCATCTGTACATTTATCTATATCCATTTATCTACCCACCCATGCATCCACCCACCCATCACCTCATTTGTCTATTTATCCATCTATATATCTATCTACTCATTTGTCCACCCATCCATCCATCTATATATTTATCTATACCCATTTATCTACCCCATCCATCTACCCTTCTATCATCCACCCACCCACCCATCTATCTATCTATCTATCTATCTATCTATCTATCTATCTATCCTATTTCTCTAACCATCCATCAAAGACAGATCTACTATCAGTAACGTAACTTCAACCAAGCAAGACGAAGCTCATAAAATACAGCTATTGCCATAAAAGTAAGGTGGATGCACTCAGAAATTCAGAATAAATTTCCTGGCTGTTGTCGCCATTTTATAAAGCAATAAGCCACTCCAGGTTGTGCGTTACAATGAATTTACCCAGATTTGTCCCTGTTTTAGTTTTAAAATTATACATTAACTTAGATGTGACACTGTTTCCATCTTCTTTCTAAAACAACTCAGTCAAATTGTATTTTCAGCATGGCTCGCATGCTCAAATACTTGCAGGCTATGAAAATCAAATCAGTGTGTCAGAACAAAGTACATTTGAGTTACTTTCATGCCGGACTTTAAAAAGGACTAAAACAGAATAAACTACAGCTATGTAAGAGCTTGCATGCAAAGACTCACGAGAACCTCATGCCGAATGCAGCTTTTGGCACTGTTCACTCGGCGAGCTCTAAATGCAGTACACTCCTCCAAGCAGGACCTGTCTCACATCTGTTTGCTAAAATGCACGAAGAGGATATGTATTCAACATGATAACATGCTAAAGATCATACAGCTGCTAGCATATTGAACTGCTTGAAAACAGGGAGCTGTCACTCTAAACGTTCTCACTGCATGCTTACCTGCATTGAGACACATTAGCAACAAATGGGCCACACCTGCCAGCCTGTACAATGGAGATTACTGACTGTTTACTTTGTGGTAAACTTTAAAATAGAGTGCATATGTCCATCCAGTCTAACCTTGTTTGAAATACTTTGTGATGTTGCCATGGAAATTAGATAAACTTGGATACTTGGAGAGTTGGATTCAATAAGAACATTTCTGGGTCTGTTTCTGAAAAAATATATATAACATAAAAATGAGTTTTGATTGTTTTTTATATACATGCATCATGATATATGTGTGTCAGGACACATGTGCCAATACAATTCAAGACTTAATTGCTGAAATGCAAACAATCTGGTAGCAGTTAGAGACTAATAGACAGCTAGTCAAACAAAAGTAAAACCTAGTGAGATGCCTATGGAGGCTAATTAAGAAGTCCTGAAAAAGAATAGAACAAAGATGTAAGATGAGAAACGTCAACTATTAATAAACTTTTATTTCAATCAGTACTGAAAAATATTGAGAACAAAATAGCTAGTGTATTTAAAATAAACTATTTTACCCAATATTTGTGTCGTATGCTAATACTGTGTTAGCTTAGCGACATGCGTCTACCATGTAATCGCAATTTGTATGGAGTTTGTATATTGGCAGCTCACGTTTGGGAACAGTGAAGTACATATAGTTAAAAAACTTGTTAAATCTCTGTATTTCTCTTGTTTATGAGTCATCTGTTGCTGAGTTTGAATCTACAATCTTTGAGCTTTAAGCCCACATCCTGAACCACTGCCACACCTTATTAGCATCTTGTGGCTTCTAAAACATCTGAAATGCAAATCGAATACAACACAAATACACAATATACTTTCAGCTAAAATACTAGTCTTCTATCCGTAATAGTCCTTTTAAAAAGTTGTCTGAATCAGGAGAGAAATATGCACAGATCAAGCATTGTTTACAAGTGAAAACAGTCCAAAATAGTTTTAAACCAATATGTTGGTGGGTTTTGATGTGAGAGGACAGCAGTGGATGGATTTTTTCACTAGAGGAATCATTATAATGGAGTATGGACTGATATTTTGGTCAGAAGTTATGGTTTAAAGTTAAAACATCTTAATGATGAATTTTATTATTACAAACATGCACCTTTTCACTTCACAAGACATTAACTGATGGACTGAAGTTGTGTTGTGGATTATTTTGATGTTTTTATCAGGTGTTTGGACTCTCATTCTGACGGCACCCATTCACTGCAGAGGATCCAATGGTGATCAAGTGATGTAATGCTGAGCTTCTCTAAATCTATTCCGATGAAGAAACAAACTCATCTACTTCTTGGATGGCCTGAGGGTTAGCAAATTTTCAGCAAATATTCATTTTTAGGTGAACTAGATGTATTTTCTACAAAAAAAATGGTTGTGTCCCTCAATCTAATCATTTGAAAATGACCCTTTTAGCAGATCATTGTGTTATGATCTCTCTGAAATATAATAATAGCTGTTATGATATGAAATCATTAATAATTGGCCCGCAAGAACAGCATGAACAGTGAGCCAAGGCTCTCCATGAGGTGCTTATTAGATGTTAATGCTTGTTATTACCTGATAGCAGCCTGAAGCTCATTTACTGTAATCCAACTAAAGCAAACAGGCAGCCAACAGGGATTATATTAAAGGGAGGTATTAAGAAACATATCCAAAATTTTGGCACGCAACACTCTCCGAAGATGCAAATCTCTTGTTAGAGATGGAAAAGAAGGTTTTGAATTACCTTTAGGAGTCCGGTTGAAATGATACTATCTTGCAGTGAAATTAATGGACTTTTACGACGGCCTCTAAAACAATATCATGCACATCACGTCACTTTAGTCATAGGAAGTTTTATGACCGCGGATATAGTAAGGGGATTTCGCTGTCTTGTATAGTGATAGCAATTGCTGAGCAACGGATAGAACAGTACAATAACATTTAAAGGTTAAGTGCCCAAACAGACCACCTGAAAACAATTCTGAATGGTGGCTCGTCAAGTGTTTCTGTCTTTTATTAATGTCTCACGTCATCCATGAAACAAGGGGCTGGAATATAGCTGGCCCAGCACTCGGCATCTGCTGCAATTGTTTATTGAAATATACCCATATTTTTCCATTACTCCCCCAGGACCCATATTCAGGAACGATACATTCCAGAGGAAGAAAAGGAGCAATTCCTCCAGCAGGACTTATGATTGTATTCCTGGAAGAGAGCCTGGTAAGAGACGAGGGTAGTTAACGTCAATTACAAAACGAACGAGCTGTGCCAACTTACTCTGCAAAGTTGGTCGTATGAGTTGGAGAAACATTCACAATGATATTCATCGTTGACTTTTGGACACTTTTATACAGGCGCACGCACAGGTTCTGTTTACAGAGTTCATTCCTCACGACTTCAGATTGGAGGTGAATGTGTTGAGTTTGGATTGGGATTTGAAGCTATTTAAGGCCACGGATGTATGCTTAGTTTGGACAGAAATAATGACAAACAGTTGTAGTTCCAGTTGCAGTTCCCATCGTATCTGTCAGGTTGTTGGGAGAATTACACTATTTTCCCCATATTATATATTTTTTTATAAAAATATATATGCAAATATATACATTTTATAATATATAAAAAATATTGAAAAAATATTGAAAATATACAGAAAGAGAAAACATGTCAAGTGTGCGACTCTTCAAAACTTCATAACATTTTTGAAATAATAATTAATTATATTTGTAAAAATACTTTTTACTTTGAAATAAATGTAAAAAAAATAATAATGATGAAGATACAAACACTCGCATGTAAGCTTATTTCTTATTTCCTTATTGTGACCACATGACTTTTGAAGTGATTGACGTTTTTCTTTTAATCATATTTCTAAGAGCTTGACACATTTAAACTAGATTTTTCTTTTTCTTTATCATGAACACTCTTAAAGGTAAGGTAGGCGATTTTGGAGAGGCTAGCACTAGCAAGCTAACTTTGAAAGCATAAGATCCCACCCTCCCTGCAAATCACTCTCCATAGTCACGCTTCCTCCAAAATGAACACGCACAGGCAGACCAGAGGCTAACCAGCAACATGATGAGAGACTGCATTGGTGGAGGGTTGAATGCACTGAGGAGTATGGTTGGACAAACATTTTATGGTCCTACCTTCCACAGACGATTTAAATACATGTAAATACATTTAGACTACTTAAGTTAGTGATTGCTATCGGGATGTGAAGAGTCTTTCAACCAGCATAACAAAAAGGTTTTTGAACCAAATCACCTACCCTGCCTTTAAGTCATGTTACATCAAGAATGATAACTATAAAAGGTAACTATATTAGCATCCATACCAATGCACTATAACGTTCTGTTTATTATAAGCATGCACCATAGTTTTGTCACCTGCCACTTGCAAATGCTTAGGCTCTTTAAAGCAGGATGGATTCTGATTGGCTGTCAATGTTTTATTTTTCATCAAATGGAGAAAAACAAAATTCTGAAAGTGATTTCAACAATATTGTCTCTTTGTGCCGTTATCGTTATAGTTGTGGTGTGGACTCTGCTATTCTTTTAAATTCAGAGCCATTTTTAAATCTATATCTTAAAGGAATAGTTCACCCAAAAAAGAAAATTCTGTCATAAATTACTCTCCCTCATGTTGTTACAAACCAGTAAGACCTTCATTCATCTTTGGAACACAAATTAAGATATTTTCGATGAAATCCAAGAGCTTTCTGACCCTGCAAAGGCAACAAAGCAACTACCACGTTCAAGGCCTAGAAAGTTAGTAAGGACATCGTTAAAATAGTCCATGTGACATCAGTGGTTCAACCGTAAATTTACAAAGCTACGAGAATACTTTTTGTGCGCAAAGACAAAAATAACGACTTCATTCAAAAATGTATTGTCTTCCGTGTCAGTCTTCGATATGCGTTCACGAGAGTACCACGACGCTGGTACACTTGGATTTCATCAATAATATCTTAATTAGTGTTCCGAAGATGAACGAAGGACTTGTGGGTTTGGAACGACATGAGGGTGAGTAATAAATGACAGAATTTTAATTTTTGGGTGAACTATCCCTTTAATTGTTATTGTTATTGTTATAGTTATCGTCCTTGGTGTGAACGTACACTTATTCATCATTGGCGCTTGTCTCTTTGTGCCATGAAGGTACTTTAAGATCTGAGTGAGATGAGACAGGAAGTGATGTCTCTTCTGAGAGGACTCATTGCTGCATTGGAGAGGTGGGGGAAAGATAATTGCTCTCAGCAGGCTGACAGAAAAGGGGAAGAGAAAGCCAGAGAGAAAGAATATGGGGATAGCTGCCAATTTGATCAAGATGCTTGTGGTGTCCACATATGGGCTTCATTATGGCATTCGGCTGCCTGTGGTGACCCCCATTGGACTATATCGGCGGTTCCTCGCTGACGGGGGGGGGGGGGCATTTTATGGTCCTACCTTCCACAGACGATTTAAATACATGTAAATACATTTAGACTACTTAAGTTAGTGATTGCTATCGGGATGTGAAGAGTCTTTCAACCAGCATAACAAAAAGGTTTTTGAACCAAATCACCTACCCTGCCTTTAAGTCATGTTACATCAAGAATGATAACTATAAAAGGTAACTATATTAGCATCCATACCAATGCACTATAACGTTCTGTTTATTATAAGCATGCACCATAGTTTTGTCACCTGCCACTTGCAAATGCTTAGGCTCTTTAAAGCAGGATGGATTCTGATTGGCTGTCAATGTTTTATTTTTCATCAAATGGAGAAAAACAAAATTCTGAAAGTGATTTCAACAATATTGTCTCTTTGTGCCGTTATCGTTATAGTTGTGGTGTGGACTCTGCTATTCTTTTAAATTCAGAGCCATTTTTAAATCTATATCTTAAAGGAATAGTTCACCCAAAAAAGAAAATTCTGTCATAAATTACTCTCCCTCATGTT